TTTTGGTAATTTGACTCGGAAATAAGGTTTGGAAGGTGATAAAGAGTTGAAGAAGAATGGTTAGTTGAGGTGAAAATTGATAGAGGGTGCTCGATGTATGGAAGTGTTTTTGATGATAAATGATGATAAAGAGTTGATAAAAATAGATTTGGATTAGATATAGAAAGATTTCGTTTGGAAGAGGGATTGGATTTGGAAAGTGATTGAAATTATTAGAGGAACGTGTTAATAATTATAATTTGGATGAAATGATGAGTTGGTTATTAAAAAATTGAAGAAGAGTTATAATATAGGATGAGAGTTGTGATAAAGATCGATAATAATAAGTTTGGAATGGAAGGGGTTTGATTTAATTAGAAAGTTGTTGGATCGGTAAGAATTTGAATTTGAAGAAAAATCGTGCGAGTGTAATTTTCGTTTGGTTGCGTTAGATATCTATGAAAGTTAACGTTATATTACAAAATAATAAAATTATTTTTTTCTAATTTGCGATAAGATTGCTATCTAATAGATAGAACATAACGTTATGTAATTGTTAAAACGTTTGTAATATTCCGACAATATTTTTTTGTAAAATTGATAAGAGAAATTATCGAACTAATGACGAAAATTGCTTCGAAAATTTAAAAAGTTTAAATTCACCTTCTATCTACTTAAATATCATTATCTTAATTTGTTTCAAACTATGTATATTATATAAATTGTTCAAACGTTTCCATCTTCGATTGGTTATAGTTATTTGCCAAAAGATAACGTAGAATTTCTTCAATTCGCAATTTAATGGAATCATTTAGAGCTCGTATAACTTGAAATTATGGTTATATTAATTTTATATTAATAAATGCAATTTTCGACGCGTGAAATCACTGAAAAAAGAGAAATTTCTCTTCCAGAAAAGAATGTGAAAACGGTTAATCTCAAACACGATTTTATAGTTATTTGCCTTGGCAATTTAAATTCATTGATTTTTAATTTATATAATTTATCTTATCAAAATTACTAATCAATATGTAATTGCATCCACAAGTGTACGATATTTAAGATCGTTAAAAAATATCTAAACTATAATTTAGATAAAATAACTATAAAGAAAAACCTTGAATAATTTAAATGTAACAAAACAAAGTGATAATTTTAACTTTTAATACATTAACACGTTCACTTTGATTCAAATTTTCATTCCCTACGTAATATATCAACAAATAATTTAACTTCAAAATAAACTTAAGACTAATACGATTTCTGCTTTAAAAAAACAAAAATAAAAAAAAGAGACCTATACAAACATATATATATATATATATATACATATACAATATATATATATATATATATACAAAAATAAAGAAAACTCAAACCTACACAAATCCAAGATCCAACATTTTTCAATCCAAATCCACTTCGATCGATCCAAGCACTTTTAATCACTCGACACAGATCCTCGAGCAAGCTTCGCTAAATCGTCGATTTTCAAAGTATCAAAAGACTTCGATGGCGAACGCCAAAGTCACGGTAGACTGATCTCGCGGCAACTTCCCAAAGAGAAACGGGCAAAACTAGCGGCGAACCGAGTCGAAACGCCTGCAGCATCGTCTACCGATGCTTTGGAAAACGAAACACGAGGATAATTGGCCCGAAAGCGCGTTTCGTTGAGCCGATATTACCACATATATACGTGTTTATGTACACAATACTTTCCCGCCACTTCTAGCACATTCTCCGCTTTGAAGTTCACCGAGCTATGCGCACACGCGTTCCTTCATTTCTCTCAAGAGCGCGCTGCGAATCCGTAGCAGCTTTCACGCGATTCGATCATCAATCACGCGGCTCCCGTTACAAGGCGAAGAAAACGCGGAAGCTAGCTACGATTCTATCCAACCACTCGTCTCGACTGAACAATCATGGACCACTCTTGGAACTGTGTTTAAGAATGTTTTTGCCATTATGTATATTATTTTCTTACCATTATGAATCGAGTACCGTTTCGTTGATTTTTCAATGTGACCGTTTAATGGGAATTTATGGGAAATTGTTGTGCTTGTTTTAATATTCTGAACGTGTGAAAAGTTTGCATGCAGATTGTGACACGTACAAAGTGTTAATATATTCGTTATCGCCATTTAGAGAGAAGAAATACTTTGATTATGTCGATTTTATAGTATAATAAAAAATATGAGAATGAGCAAATCATTCTTTTTAATATACGTATTAATTATCTTCGTTTTGAATAGAACAAAATTTAAAAATTAATAATCAATGCTCGTTGAAGAATATTATATTCTTTATATCGATAAAACTAAAAATCGAAACAAATAAAAATGTTGATCTTACTTGTTGAATTATAAGTGAACTGCGTGTAGATATATAAAAAATACAAAATACTCAAAACATAGTAGGCATTATGATGTTTGAGGAATAAAGAAAATCTTTATTCAAGCTATCTTTTTTTTAATCATGTTCATAAAAGTTTAATTTTACATAAAAAAAATCCGTAGTCCAGTTATAATTAAGATTTACGTTAGATAAACTAGGAAATAGAGTTATCTTATTCTTCCTGCGTTTCGCTTCGTTTAACGCAAACTTCAATTATTTATAACTTAATAAATATATCTCGCTCGACATTTTTATACATTAATTTTTGTATTCGTTATAACCATTTTGTAAAATCGATTCTTCAAAAATATTATACGAATATATTAACATGTTTTGAAATGTTACAAATTTTTACTTATTTATTCAATAATTATAAGTTTTAATCATTCCGTGTCGACTCATCGTTCGTTATTTATGGAAATTATTTTTTTTATTTAATTCGATTAATTAAAAAAATAATTTTATACAAACTCTTGCTTAGATATGCGATCTCGTGCGCTGCTGGCTCTATACTGAACTTATTAATAATATTGACTCGAGGAACATACGTACGAGGAACATACGTATGTAAACATTACGCGCTATAGGAGAGTATACGTAAACTCGACTGTAACTTCTTTGTTTCATCGATATACTCGTCGCGTAAAAATTTAATTTTCACTCGTCATGTATTAATTCCCTTTAATTAATTATAATTTAAATCACGATGAGGATATATTCGAATTTTTGAGATAATAAATCATACAAGGGATAATATATACGTGAAAAAATATTATACGTGAAAGTGAAATCAGTGTTCATTTATTGAGCTATTACGTTTATCGATATCTATTTCCTAATCGTTATTTGCTATTGGCTTGAATGTGAATTATAAGAGCGTTTATTCATCGAAGCCTATTTTATCGTATCATTAATCGTGGTGGGAAACGATATGGAGAAAGATAAATCGCAGACTGAACTCTCTTTCATTCTACAAGTCGGAGATTATCAGATCGAACATTTTTCCACCTCTGATCCACCCTTTTACACAAAAAGGAAATAAACGAAAGATAAATAGTATCTTGCGTTTATCGTTTCTTGCTATTATCTCATTTTTCAAAAAGTTCACAATAATAGTATTTTTCTATATTTTATCCCTTGTACGATTTATTATCTCAAAAATTCGTATATATCGTTATATATCGCTCGAGTAAAAATTTTCGATCCAAATGATCATTCTTCACGGATCGTGTTTAAGCAATTTAAAAAAATAAAGCAATCCTTAAAAGTTGAATTAACAATATGAAAGGATACC